TTTGAGGGAGGACATGAGGAGAAAACGTCCAGAGAAGTGGCGCACGAATGACTGGGTACTCCACCATGACAACGCACGACCGCATACGGCTTACATTGTGCAGGAATTTTTGGCTAAAAACAAGATGGCAGTTGTTCCCCACCCACCGTACTCGCCAGACTTAGCTCCATGCGACTTCTTTCTCTTCCCCAAGATGAAAATCAAGTTGAAGGGGCGAAGATTTGATACAGTTGAGGAAATTCAAGCGGAAACGCAGACGGTACTAAACACTCTAACATAGAAAGACTTCCAGGATGCATTTGAAAAGTGGCAGAAACACTGGGACTACTTTGAAGGTGATGATGCAGAATAAGATCTAGGTAAGATGTAATAGTTTTTATTAATATATTTCGGGAACTTTTGGATTGCACCACGTATATGAAACTGGCGTAACTTGTATACTGGATATAAGGTGGAATGGAAAAGGTGTCACTAAGAAGAATGAGTATACAGGCTTTGCTGTTAGCAAAAGAGCATTTTGAAGAAAGGGTACGAAGACTTTGCTAACGATAAAAGGGAAAATGTTTACGTATAACAATATACAGGGAGGATTTTTTTTTTTGTGCTTTGCGCTTCACTACGGCCGCTTTCTGCAGGGCACATACAGATTCCGCCCATGAATCAACATGCCTGAGGCTTACGTTTAGAATGATGGGAAGTAATTAGCTTGTGGACCTCTTAACAGTATTAGGTTACATGGTGAGCAGTGTGGGAGTTTATGATTTGTCGGCTGTAGGCAACAGTTATCAGCTCCATTAGCCATTTGTTCTCAGGTAGTTGGTGCATAGTGTTGTACGTCACAGTGTGCCAAGCATCCGTTAGGACTTAATTTTTTCAAATTTTGCCCTGCAATGCATCGCTACATCATGTGTTATGACTTTGAATGTGACAGTACTGTTCTGACGCTCATCGGAAAATGGCTGTTGAACAGAAAGCCAACATCAATTTTTGTTTGAAGTTAGGCAAAACAGCCGGAGAAGCATACGAAACGATGAAAAGTGTGTATGGTAATGATTGTTTGAGTCGCTCGAACATTTTTTGATGGTATGCTGTATTTGTGATGGCAGGGAGGGCATTGAAGACACTCCACATGCATCAAAACCGAGAACAAGTCGCACTGAAGAAAATGTGAAAGTGACCGAAATCCTTGCATCAGACAGATGTGTTTCTGCAAGGCTCATCAAGGAGCTTTTGGGAATACCAAAAAAGTACTGTGCATCAAATTCTGTCCAAAGTTTTGTGCAAACGGAAGATCTGTGCGCGGTTTGTACCTCACGCGCTGTCAGGCAATGAAAAACATGCCACAGTGGAACACTGCAAAGACATGTTACGGTCGGCCTAAAGTTATACAAAATTGACTGTTACTGGTGACGAGATATGGTGCTGTCACCGTGCACCGTGGTTGAGCCCAAAGAAGCCGAAAGCAAAGAAAGTGCACATGCAAAAGAGTCGAGTAAAGACACTGCTAACCGTTTTGATTCTAAAGGAATCATTCAAAATGAATTTCTGCCAGAAGGTCAAACAGTGAATTCTGATTATCATCTCGGAGTCCTCAATCGTTTGTGGTCGAGTATTCTTCGAATTTGACCTGAATATCGAGAGTAAGGTTCCAGGTCGCTCTTCCACAACAATGCCCCACCCCACAAATAAAAAAAATCGTGCGCAATTTTTTGGCCAGAAAAGGGATCACAGTCCTTAATCATCCTCCCCATTTGCCAGATTTGGCTCCAGCAGATTTCTGGTTGTTCCCAAAAGTTAAGTTGGGGATGAAAGGAGACCTTCACGACACCATCCAGGACATCCAAAAGGAATGTACCGCAGTTTTAAATGCGATTCCACAAAAGGAGTACAGTGACATTTTTTGAAAACTTTTCGATTCCGGCTATGTATTGATTCACAGAGAGACTATTTTGAATAAAAAGAGTGAAATTTTGAAAATAATTCACATCTTGTATTTTTAATGAACAGTCCTAACAGAACCTGGACACACTGTGTACTTTAGAGCAACGCATATTTCTGTATGTCACCCA